CTTGAAAAATGATTGACAGGATATGTCTAGCTCAAAATAGAATCTTCATTGAGGCTAACTAATACACAATATGTGATACATAAAATTCAAATACTAAAATTCAAAATAAAGCTTTGTTCCCCATTAGCATAAGGTGGAAGGTCTACAGTAGAAGCAACAGTGAAAAGAGATGAAAAATAAGTGAAGAAATACAGAGAGGCTCAGAGAAAATTTAGTATTTGGAGGGGAAAACAGAAAAGCTATTCTAGGAATATTTAAATCATTTAATAAGTAAAGGGCCATGAAAAATGATTACATCTTTTAATGTTGAATACACTAATTATCCTGATTTGAGTATCACATATTGCACACAGGTATTGACATTCAACACTGTACCCCACAGATATGTACGATCAACTGTTTCAATAAAAATAAATAAATCATTTAATGAATACGTGTAGTGTTTTTATAGAAGCACCTTCAAGAAATATCTCTGAAAGGATTTTGGATGATAATACATCAGGGGATAAACGAAACAGAATACATTATACACAGGTTGCTAAAGTAATATGAATATGGTAATTTCCCATAAAAACTAAGGAGACAGTGTGGTTTCAGATTTGGATATACAAAATATAAAAATTGTAGTGACCCAGGTTTCACAGTCCCAATTCTGTCAAATTTCTGTCCGGCAATATGCAGGATGACATCTCTAAACTTCCACTGTCCATGTATTAAAAACTGAGCAGCTCACAGACTACTTGGAAAAAAAAAAAAATGGCCAAATGAATGTAAAGTTACTTATTGGTACAAAAATGCCAAAGAAATGCTGAGATATCTTCTGTAATAAACAGTAAATTACTGGTTTTACCTGTCCCTAACCCTTACAGTACTCACTAGTTAACTACTTACTGAGCATGTAAGTGTTAATCCATGCTAAATTTTGGGATAAAGGGATAAGACAAAAACATCCTTTTTTCTTTTAAAACAAGCTTCCCAACATCATGATCAAACTTATAAATATTAAATTTCTAAAGGTATAGTAAGAGCTCAAATTTAAGTATTATTATTAAATTTAAGCATAGGTTCTTACTATTTATGAAATAGATCCCTTCCTTTTGAAAAGGTACGTATAAAATGCAATGTTGTAAATCAGATCCTACTTATCCCTCTCCTGCAGCACAAATTATTTGTACTTCTTGGAAGACAACGCCCTAATAAAGTAAAAGGTCTCTTGGGCAGTTCAGTTTCACACCTTATACTGGCACAGAGGGCATTATCTTTTTAGTCAGTCCCTTAAGCAGCTTACTCTGAGTGCCAATAAAACTCTTTTCAAAAAGAAGTCTTCAAAAGTGCTTAAAGAAGTTCTGGTTACTCTTTTTCACCTGCACAGTTTAATGTCAAAAGTAGGAAACAAGTATAAGCATTGAAAGAAGGAATGAGTCTAAATAATGTATAACAACTGTTCCCCCACATCAATTTTGTCATGGTGATGTTCCCTGATTTTATAGAAGAATCTGTTTAGATCTGCTACAACTTCTTGGATTTTTAAAACATTGTCGGATGACATATATAAAACAGAGTAGTTGTTAGAGAAAGTATTAGATAAGTCAGTGAGAAAGTATTAGATAAGTCAGTGCTCTACCACTGGCTGGCTATCCCCCAGGCAAGTCATTTAAATTCTCTGGAAACACCTTCCTCATCTGTAAAATGGAGATAAAAATTCCTTCCTCACAGGAATATTATGAAAATTAGAAGAGAAAATACACTGTATTTGAAATGCTTTGTCCATCATAAAATCATGCAAAATTCTTTCTTCATAGAAACGTGACAACTAAATGTGCTAAGATGAGAAAGGATACACTAAGTGCCTGCACATAAATACTTAATAAAGTTTATTCCCCACCCTTGTTTTCTGTATAATGTACAGTTAGGAAATGGTTAAACATAAACCAAAGATGCTCTCATTAAAGAGAGTCACATCCATAGGTACAAAACTATGCTATCTCCCCTAAGTGAATCACTGTGCAGTATATGCATGTATTGAAACACACTGTACCCCACAGATATTCACAAGTAAATGCAAAAATGGAAAAAAAAAATTCATTTAGACTTTAAATAGAACCACACGGTTCTTTTCTGCAAACACTTTTTGATATATAATTTTTTCATTGTGTTTAGGTCTGGATTCTGTGGTAGAGATCTGGATGATTAAGGCATCTGGGGGATAATGTCTTGGAGCAATCTTCTTTCACTGGTAAAACTTTTAATGAATGTTCTTCAAAGAATAAAATAATTTCCTTTTTAACCAAAGTTCCTGTGCATTGGAAATAATTTGTTTCAAAGATGGTGACAAAAAGAAAAAACAGTTTTAACTTTCCCAAGGTAATGCTTTCCTGAAGAGTTGGAAGTAGCAGTTTAGTAGTTGGGATTCTGGTAAGACTTCACAATTTTACATCATTGAATTAAAAGATTTATTTAGGTCTATACAACATTTAATGCCTAATTTTGCATGGCTTTGGGAATCTTTAAAATGTAAAAACTCTCCACTGACTGGAAACCAAAGTGGCAAGACTGAAATGATATGACCTGTGAGCGATTCTGGTTTCTAAAAAGTACCAATTCGCAGAATATAAGCAAAATAAAGAAACTAAGCAATCCTTAAATTGAATTTAGCATTGGGCAATTAACAGAAAAATTCACACACAAGTTAATATCCATTGTGCAAATGTCATCATTTTTTAAAGTCAGGAACTAGTTTCAAAAGAGTAAAAAAGTAAAAAAGAGTAAAAAAAATTAATCATAATATCTTCCATAAAGAATACTATGGAAATACTATTCTAAACCTAATTACATATGAAAAATGAGACAATAAAACTCCATTTATAAAGTGTCTTCATGTACCAAAAACGGAGGCCAGATGTCCTTTATTTACAAATAATATTTAATCACATTTACAGAAAGGCAAATGTTACACTGGAGAGGCAGCACAATAGAGTATAAAAAACTCGCACCCTGGACTAAAGAGATCTGAATACTAGTCTTGGCTTTGCCGCTAATTATCTCTGTGATCTTGAGTAAATGACAGGTTTTGTGGGCTTCAATTTTTTCCATCTGTAAAATGAGAGGGAGAACTGGACTGCTTCTAAGGATAGTCCCCACTTAGATGTTAAACAATGTAATATTGTTGTTCTCGAATCCTAGCATTATGTAACAGGGTGCTACCATATTAATAATCTCTGTAAAAACTGATTATTCCATAGTACGTAAAAATATTATAGAACTGATAACTGCATTTTGAGTTAATGATTAAGTCACACTATTTTGGTTATGTGTGTGTGTGTGTGTGTGTGTGTGTGTAGACTTTGAAGAATGCTGAAATATTCCTGATACACCTTGGCCGTACAGCAGTAAGGGAAATCACAATGCCAATGACATCTGTTATCACTTCCTTGTGCCTCCACTGCAGAAGACTGGTAGGGATGACAGCATGAAGAACACTGACCTATAGGTAAACGATACTGTCCTTCACAAAGATAATGGGGACTTAGCAAAACGAAGAAGTTGCGCATATGTTAAGCCCTTCATCTTGGGTAACATCATCTACATTTAAAAAAACAAAACTAGTATAGGTATATCTCTGGGGAAAGTTTTCCTACACTTTCCCTGAGCAATAAAAATTTGTTCTCCAGAGGATATTTTGATTTTTAAAATATTCACTCACATTTAGATTGTTTTTTTTTTTTTGCAAGAGTTAGCCTAGTATTAGAGACATTCTAAATTTATCTTATAACAATAATCAGGTAGTATTTCTCAGTGACATTATCTACTTTAGTAATACATCTGTATAAAGAACACTGATGAGACAAAATATTTCCAAAGAATGAGGAAAAATTTGCTTTTTCTCACTAATTTTTTACTGCTGCACACACAGGTATATTGACATTTAATTAAAGCATAAATGATAATGCCAACCTGCTAACTGATATGAGCTGGCAATCTCTTGTAACAAGTGCAAAATTAAGAGTATCACATCAGTTCAACACTATATAATCTAGGCCTTTTCAAAGTAAAAAATACATACTCATGCATTTGTATATTGAGAGTACAGTTAAATAAAGTGACACATACTTTGACAAAAACTTCACTTGGAATGGAGGGCACAGTGAAAGGAAGAACTGGATCTTCAAAATGCACTGGTAAATTTTACAGACCAGTGCAATTATCTCCATATGTGAAATATCAGTACAGTTTAGTTTTTAAAGGCACACATCCAAAATCTCCACCTTCATCTAGATCTGTCATTTTCTATAATATGCCAAAACCCACAGAATATCCCAGACTTCTATCAGACCTGGTGGTATTGGTTGCAGATTTCAAAATAACTACTCACTTGTAATGAAAAAGCAGTACTATTGTCAGGGCATTTCCTTTTGTATTTTCCCTCCTAAATGACCTCAGCAATTGTTTCAGTTAGACACATTCTTTTGCAGGAATTCTTAGCTTTAGAACTGGCTGGCAGTAAGCAAACATGTTTTGAAAATACTACATTATCTGCAAAAAAGGATACTATTGACAGTTCATAACAATCTGCAGCAGTTTAAAAAAGCATGAAGAAAGTGATCTAGTTTTCCTAATACAAGGTAGTTCATAAATTGTATCAGAAATAGGGGAAAAGATATTTTAAAACTTAGACAACAGTGATTTCTCCCACCTCACTGAAAAAGTGCTTATTATTGATATACATTTTTTAAAAAAAAACTTGGGGGGGTTGCTTGGCCGGTACAGGGATTGAATCCTGGATCTTGGTGTTATCAGCACCACGTTCTAAACAACTGAGCTAACTGGCCAGCCCTGATCTACATTCTTAGCAAATCATTTCCATCCTGCAGGGTTTTTTTCCCCCAACAATTTCAAGTTTTTTAAAGTTAAAAGGAATTACATATTATGATAAGATGAAGTATGATGGAAAACTGTTTATCTCTTCATAAAACAGAGAATAAAAGTAGAGTGTCAAGCACTCTCTCAAATTGCCGTTTTATTTTTCAAATACACAAGAACCTAGAAAATCAACTTATTATTTACTTCTCAGATACCTATGTTAGGAAGAGTTCTACATCACCACATTTGCTCCAGACCTTCAATAGTTCAAACTCAAGAAAATGCTGCTTTAGGATTCCTGAAAGTAACTGTATATGTGCAAAGCTTAAACAGGAAAAACAAATTGGGTCAGTTGGCATTTGATGAATTAAAAAGTACAATAACAGTCACAACCATTTTTGCCTCAGTCTACAACGCCTTTTCCTTCCATTACTAAAATCAATAAAAATGGGAAGGAAAGATATAGGGAAGTTTATATAGGAAAGCTTATCACGGACACAGTAGCTTTTATAGAAATTTGGAATTTGGCAGATGTTTTAAGTCAAAACAATTTTCCTTATAACAGATGCATTTCCAAAGTTTTGAAAACACAGTCCACAAAGTAATTTAATGTGCTAAATAAACTTCTTTTAAAAAGCAAAATAACACATTTTATTTTTGATGAGATAAAAGCAAAATTCTGATATATCGAAACCTATGCTGGAAGTACACCCAAAAAGAATCTGTATACATACTAGCAAGAATCTTATTTTGCACAGATTACAGAATAACCATTTAACAAAAAACAAATACATGGGCTTTGATGCTGGCAAATACATTTTTCTGATACAAAGGCACTTTGAAAACCCAATATGGTTTGGTTCATAAGTTTGTAAGGTACAAACAATTTTACAAACATATGATTACACTGAAGAACGTCAACAATTGTGACATTACATATATAACAGATTTCCATTTCTTTTTTTTCCTTTTTAAATAACACTGGTTTTGTGGGAATGAAAGCAGTGGTTTCCAGCAGCTTCAGTGAAGACATTCCAGATGACTGGAGGCCCACAATCTGAATTTTTCACTGGCTGGGATGAGGGACTAGGGGTGAGGGCATTCAGCATGAAAAAAAACAAAACCAAAAGAAAGGCATAAAGAGAAAAGGACAAACCAACATGCTGGAACAAATGGAGAAACTTCAGAAATCAAAATGGTTTTGAAGGAAGAGCACAAAAGAAGACCAAAGGTCCAGGAGATGTACCCTCTTAACTCTTATCCCTTATCTGTAAACTCCCTGCAGAGCACAAACAGCTGATTCTACCTGGTCTACTTGGTGCTGGGCAGCTGTAGTGATGATTTCTCTATTTTGAAAAGCTGGGTACAATGTTTTGGATTGTACAGTACCAGAAAAATTCGGTCCAAAAAAAACGATAATTTCTTTTCATTCACTACATGGCCGCAAAGTCAATCTGTACATAAAGCTGTCTCACTCCGGCCTGAAAAGTTAAACAACAAAAAAAATTAGAAAAATCAAACAAGCCAAAAACGGACTACACATTTCAGAAAAGTAGTGGGGAAAAAAATTCTCCTTTTTTGAAAAAAGAATTATTTTTCTCTCCTGTCTCTGGAAAACTATTCTTCATCTTTTATCATAAAGCACCGGAAAATTATTTCAGAACAAATATATTCATAAGTTGCAAAAAAGATTCTCTACTTACCACTACAAAAAAAAAAAAGAAAAAGAAAGCCATGCTACTCATTACATGCCCTGTCCAAGTAATATTTACCCTTCCCCTCATAGAGTCTATTCTATGGAGGACTATGTAGAACAGGAGATGGCCAACAAGTACACAAGTAAATACACTATGTCAGATGAACACATATATGCTCTAGAGAAAAAACAAAGCTTGGTACAAGAGCCAGGAAATGCCTTAGCACTCCCAACTTACTTACCCTGCTCTCTCTACCCATAGCACTTATCAGATTGTGACATATCATAAAACTTATTGATTCACTGTGTTCACTACTTATTTCACACTATAACATAATCTCTCCAAGATAAAGGATTTTGTCTTCTTTTTTTCTCTGCTGACTCCCAGAACCTGAAGTAGAACCCAGCACACGGTAAGTGATCAAAAAATATTTGTTGAATGAACTGAAATTCTAATTTCCTTCTTTGAACCACAAATGATTTTTTTATTAAAGCAAACTTATCAGTCACAATAAGCCCTTTCTTTTTGGTACCACAGAATGAAAGGTAAACTAGAATATTTAATAGAAAGGAAAAAACCAGAGCAGGGGATAAAAATCTATTAACACTATCTTCTTACAGTAATTTAGGGGCTCCTCAAAGCACTGCTTTCTAGCATGGCTTTTTTTTCTCTAGCATTCAGGTAAGAAGGCTATGGAATGCTTGAGAGGAGTCAGGAACTACGCAGTAATTTAGGGGCTCCTCAAAGCACTGCTTTCTAGCATGGCTTTTTTTTTCTCTAGCATTCAGGTAAGAAGGCTATGGAATGCTTGAGAGGAGTCAGGAACTACTCTAATGGAATAAAAAGCTGGATAGACCCTCAAAGCTTGCCAGTACTGCAGCACTGAAAACATATTTTATCTTTTTCGCCTCATTAAAAAAAAATGGCCATCCTTTTTAAATAAGTAAGTTAAAGCTCTCTAGTTACTCAAATATACAGAAAATACATTTAATAGCATCCTCTCCTTAGTTAAGAGGCTTGTGACAGAAAAAAACACATGACAGTATGTGCATGATCTTGAGCTAAAAATTAAAACCAAATCTCAGTTTGTCTTATTTTAAAACAGTTGATAAATACCAACCCTACTTATAACAATTGTTATATATTCATCTAGCATTTGACAAATATTTAATAAATCTTGCTACATACCAGGCACTGTTACAAAGATCATGAATATATAGTACAGGATTTCAAATGTTATAAAAGGCTATTATAAACAAATCACTATGATTGATTACAATTATATGATATGATTTACTCAACCCAGATGGCCCTTGAAATAAGTACACTTTGAAACTCTTGTAAAATTCTTGTATATTTAATGTTAAGAGAAAAAAACTATTACCCAAATAAGTTGTCTTAATTTTTCTTTTAACAAAATTGCTAATGAAAGTAAAATGGACAAAATAAGTTGGGCTCCTTTTATTGTTTCTGCCATTTTCCTTACCCCTAGCCTTAACACAGAGAAGATGGTAATAAGAAATGAAGTAGCCCAAGGCAATGAAAAAGAAAGGAAAAACAAAGAGGCTAGGTAAATTATCTTTGCATAACCATGAGTTAATTACTCAAGCTGATATCTTTCCCCTGAGGGGCTGTGGCTTTCTACAAAAGCTCCGTCTAAAAGCAAAAAAAGTCATTCTGCTTTATCCATCTGTCCTCATGGAGACAGCCTCAAGTTTTCCACCTTCTCACTTTCCTCTTTCAATTTCCTTCAAAGTAGAGAGAAAGTCGAATTTCCAAAGAGTCCTGTGTTAAGTCACCTATTCCCTAAGTGCAAACTAGGCTATCTATGACTATAGTTTATTCACACCACAAAGACATAACAGATATTCCAGCAAACAAAAACAATGATCAGTTCCATCAAATATTCTACCATTAGAATAATACCAGCAGTTAGAGGCTGGCTGAGAGGTTGTCCTTAAAATACGAAAACCATAAAATACTCATTGTATATCCTCAGAATAATATACAAGTGGGAAAGACAGCTAGTTATTTTGAACACTTATATGATCCTAAGAAAATAAGTGTTAACCTGGTGCCATAGGCTTAGAATATTTTCAACAAATTATTCATTGTTATGAAAAGGAGAATAAATCAGAAGTAAAAACTTTAGAAAAATAAATAGGAATATGACTATAGAAAATTATTGGTTTGCTTGCATTCTGTACCAATCAAAAACTACAGAAATTTTCTTCTTTAAGTTTTTGACTGAACATATAATATTAATCTTTATCCCTTTAAAATTAAGTCTTGAAAAACTGTCTTACCCTTCTATGTGAAACCTAAGTCATGTCAGAGCTAATAAAACAGTGAGTGAACGTGACTAAATCACAAGTAAAGAACAATGGTTTTGGGGCCGGCCTGGTGGCGCACTGCTACAGTGCGCCACTTGGGAGCGTGGCGGCGCTCCCGCCGAGGGTTCGGATCCCACATACAGACCGGCCACTCACTGGCTGAGCGAGGTGCGGGAGCAACACCGAGGGCTGCGATCCCGTAGCCGGTCCCGGTCTGGTACGGGCACAACACTGAGGGTTGCGATCCGTTGCCGGTCACGAAAAAAGACAAAAAGGAAAAAAAAAAAAGAGAGAGAACAATGGTTTGGGTTTTTTTTTTTTTCCTGTAAAATGTCTTGTGAGTTATTGATTAATATGTTACTTACTACAATGCTTGGCACATGGCACATGGTGGGCTCTCAATAAATGCTGGCTGCTGCTATTATTATTCCCACCACTATCAACCAACCAATGAACACTTAAACCATGTGCATTAATTAAAATCAACAAACCTAGGGATTTGTTGGCCTCATGTCTTGTGGCTGTTCACTCCAGCCTCCTAAGGAACTCAGCTAACTGTTAAGTTCAATTAACAGTGGCTGTTAAGTCCACTGGGTTCTGGTGGACTTCAAATACATAAGAGGAAGAAAGATAATGGAAAGATGAATAAGGAAAAACTGTAGAGTGAGCAAGCAAAATCAATATTTACATTAAAGACTCCTACAGGAAGGAAAAAAACAAAAAAAAGAGGAAAGGTTGGAAAAATAAATAGCAATCTACCTAGAAAAGGTAGATACATTTTCCCACTCCCTACCCTCACCCTCAAGCAGACATAACAAAGGTGAATGACATCAGTGATAGGAAGGAATTATCAACCCAGAAGAGAGACTGAGGTGGAGGGTTTCCGAAACTTGGGGAACTCCCATTTGAGCTTAGGAGGCTTTTTGGTTCCTTCCTGGGTATCAATGTTAACTTCTATTTTGAGGCCAGAGAACACCGTACAAAGAGGTGAAGCAGGAAGCTAGAAGCTTAGGACTTAACAGGCATAATGGAGAAAGATGGAAAAGATGAAGGTGGAAGTGCTCTCTGGGAGTAAATATTAGGTTTGACTGTCTTCGGTGCTCTGTGAAACTGAAGAGGGTAATGTACCCCAAGCATATTCTATATTATTCTTCAAACGTATTCTATATTATTCTTCAAACATATTCTAGATTTTTCTTTGGTGTGCTTTCTTCAAACAACATTATTTCTAACAAAAAAAAAGTATTAAAAATTTTGGGATCACAGTTATAATTTTGAAGTGTGCTATTAAAAAATAATTAACAGATGATATTTGCCAGTTTAAAACAAAAACATCAAGTCTCAGTGGAACTAAAAAATAAACTAAAATAAAATGTTAAATTGTCTATATAATTGTGAAGTGTGCTATTAAAAAATAATTAACAGATGATATTTGCCAGTTTACAACAAAAACATCAAGTCTCAGTGGAACTAAAAAATAAACTAAAATAAAATGTTAAATTGTCTTCCTAATCCAGTATCCCACTTTCTCTTCCTGTTTGTATATTAAATACAAAAGATAAACTTTCCATTTAATCAATTCCCCCCAAATAACTCATTTTTTAAAAATTAGTGTGAGGAGGAAAAGAGGGAGAGGAGTTCTATGCCAACAGAAAACACTGTAATTTAAAACTGTATTATCACTTAATCAGTAATCCCAAAGGAATTTAACTACTGAAGTGTCTTCTACCAATTCACTTGTATTACTCTATATTCATACACTGTAAGCCAACTTCTTTAGCAGTTGAAGATTAATTGATAACTCTGAAAAATGAGATTAAAAAGGATAATGCCTAATATAAAGCTATAGTTTTAGAAACAAAATACAAAGTTATAATTCTCAAACTTTTGATACTGGTGTTTTCAGTTTAAAGTTATCCTATCCATGTAAGTTTTAACAAGAACAATATTTTAACAAAAAAATATTACTTAAATTCTGATTTAAGCTCTGCCTAGAAACAGGCAAGAGAACATGCCTGGGATCCTAGGCAAGGAGCCATGGGCTGCAGCCCCTTCTACCCGGACGCAGGCAAGACAGCACAACACTCCTAGGCAAGGAGCTGAGGACAATACTCCCTGCCCAAAAGCAGGCAAGAAAACACATCAAAAACATCACTTCTGCGTGGATGGCCCACCACAACTACTGCCACAGCCACAGCTGCTGAAAAAGCAGCTTGATGCCACAGCAGCAGTCACAGTCACCATGCAGGCATCCTGATGGACACTCAGGTGCACTGATACAAGGAGAGTTCACCAGCAGAGACCAGAAAAAGAAGAGGATGTCTCTTTCCTCAAGGCCCACTCCAGAGTAATAGAAGAAGCAACTGCTCTACCAGATGACCAGATATCAATGAAGAGATACAAGAAATACAATATTCAAGAAAATATGACACCACCAAAAGAATACAGTAA